GTCATAATTTCACTTTAGCTCTATATTATGCTGTATTGTTATAAAAAGACTTTCTCGCAAAACCAACAAGAGAGCATTTCCAAACATACAAAGTATTGTAAAAGTACAAACCGAAATGATTTCTGTATGGTTACCATTTCCACCTGATCCTTATGAGCTCCCAGTGAAGAAGGCAGGGCAGATCTCATTCCATTTTACGACTGAGAAGACGAGCCATTTCGGCGGAGTGGTAGTTCTGTGTCAAATGTGCACAGAGGTATTGTGGGAACACAGCAGGGGGCATCTGATCTGGCAGGGGCTGGGGAGTGCTGGTGCTCAAGGGAGGCTTTCCGGAAGGCGTGTGAGTTGGGGGCTGAGTGAAGACCTGGTCTTTCCAGCCAGTAGGATGGCACGGAGCGAGCCTGCGGAGGGCGTCAGGTGGAGAATGGGTGTCTGTTAGCACGGCCGTTAGAACTGAGTCCAAAAGGAAACCAGGATTTCCTACTGGACAGCCCTCAGTTCTCCGGAGGAGGAAATGGGTTAGGATGTCTCTTCCCCTAATCCCTCACTTGTGTGTATCTTGGTCTCTTTGCCAGAGTGGGCAGAAAGGCCCAACCCTGTTGCTTTTGCAACAGGAAGCCTCCCTTCCCTTCTCTGTGTCTGTGCGTGTGAACCCTGGAGGCCTGCTGAGGGACCCTTTTCTGTGAAAATGGTAGAAAGAGAAAAAGGGCAAGAGCATCACATTATGGAGACCCCGCAGGCTCTGGAGGTGAAGGCTCATTGATTCTGTCTGATTCAAGGCCTGAGAAGAACGGCCTGGAGGGCCACTCAGTGTCGTCACCCATGACGCTGTTGTAACTCTTCCGTACGAAGAGACGTACTTGGGCCACTCTTGCCAGTTAGCCACTTGGGAAATACCGTGGAAGACTCACTTTTTTCACCCAGAAGCCCTTCTAGGGAGAATTTCTTTTGGAGAAATTCGCTGAAATCAAGCCCATCAGACTCACATGCTGATGATGTAACTCGAGGCGGCTCACTCCTGGACACACGTGACCCATTCTGAAGATTATCTGTCATGTCCATATAGGGTATGGCTCTGCCTCGGACCGCAGCTCCTCTCCTACTTCCCCTCCTCCCCCAGCTCCATATTTAGGCATCTTCCAAGGCTCCTCCTGTCCTCAAGGCTTATCATCCATCTTTACTGCCGCACAGTAATGCAATGGTTTATGTTTTGTATTCACTGCAGCAGGTACTTTGGCTTCAGTTTTAATAAAACTATCAAGAACTGCTTTACAGTTTATGAAACTGAGGCCCTGAAAGCTGACTTGATGAACCACTTGGGGTCAGAACTGGCTGGCACTGAGGGTCACTTGATTGAACAGAGATGCTTTCACCTTTCTGACTCGCTGGGTGGCAAAGCTTAGACAGGAGTCTCTTTCTTTCTCTCTCTTTTTGTAGCTATGTCTGGGTGTGTTTCACCCTTTGTTGGAGAAAGCTCTTTTGTGCTACTTTAAATTCCCTACTTAGCGTTAATAACTGTTTATCATTATATTTAGTAATTGTTATTTCAGAATATTATTAATAGGGACTACTTACTGAGTGTTCACTATGTACATACAGTATGTTTATATTATGCACCTGCTAAGAATTTTGCACTCTAGGCCAGGCACAGTGGCTCATGCCTGTAATCCCAGCACTTTGGGAGGCTGAGACAGGCAGATCACTTGAGCCCAGGAGTTTGAGAGCAGCCTGGCCAGCATGGTGAAACCCCATCTCCACTAAAAATACAAAAATTAGCCAGGCACGGTAGTGGGCGCCTGTAATCACAGCTACTCAGGAGGTTGAGGCAGCAGAATCACTTGAACCCGGGAGGCGGAGGTTGCAGTGAGCCGAGATCACACCACTGCATGCCAGCCTGAGCGACAGAGCGAGACTCAGGTCTCCAAAAAAAAAAAAAAAAAAGAATTTTGCACTCTAAGCACACTTAAATACTCTCAACAACCTGTGGTGCAGATATAATATTGTTACACTGATTTTACAGAGGAGGAAACTGAGGCTTAAGGAGGTTAGAAAATCTTCCAAGTTCGTCACATAGGTAGTCGGTTGGGCAGCTCGGATTCAATGCCAGGTTTACCTGACTTTAAAGCCCATGACCTTAACAATTATGCCTTATTAATTTCCTTTTGCAGATATCCACTCAGGAAATTTGGCTTTAGCTCAGTCAGTTTATTGGAGAGTTTATTTAAATAACCGAAAGGACTGGGTGTGGTGACTCATGCCTATAATTCCAACACTTTGGGAGGCTGAGGCAAGAGTATCACTTGAGCCCAGGAGTTCAGGACCAGCCTCAGCAACATAGTGAGACCTTGTCTCTATACAAACTAAACAAATGTAGCCGATCACAGTGGTGAGTGCTCGTAGTCCTAGCTACTTGGGAGGCTGAGCTGGGAAGATCACTTGAGCCTGGGAGGTGGAGGCTGCAGTGAGCCACCATCGTACTCTGTCTCCAGCATGGGAGATAAAGCAAGACTGTCTCAAAAAATAAATAAAGGTGGCCAGTGGTTGGGTGTGGTGACTCATGCCTGTAATCCCAGCACTTTGGGAGGCCTAGGCGGGTGGATCATTTGAGGTCAGGAGTTCAAGACCAACCTTGGCAACGTGGTAAAACCCTATCTGTACTAAAAATACAAAAATTAGCTGGGTGTGATGGTGCATGCCTGTAGTCCCAACTACTCAGGAGACTGAGGCATAAGAATTGCTTGAACCTGAGAGGCGGAGGTTGCAGTGAACTGAGATCGAGCCACTGCAGTCTAGCCTGGGCAACAGAGCAAAACTCCATTTCAAAAAAATAAAATTAAGATAAATAAATAAATAAATGCCCGAAGCGTGTACATTTTTCTTAATTCTGGCCCTGCTACACTGGGGTCAAATAAAACTTAAGGCCAAAAAATAAATAAATAAATAAATAAAATATGGAGGAAATAGGCAAAAAAAAAAATAATAATAATAATAATAAATAATAGCACAATATTTGATATTTAAATGCTCGTTTAAATTCTCAAAAATGAAATATTAAAACACACAATGCAATAATTGCGCTCCAAAAAAAACCCAAAAAACTTAAGGCCAGGCGTGGTGGCTCATGCCTGTAATCCCAGCACTTTGGGAGGCTGAGGTGGGAGGATCACTTAACTCCGGAGTTTGAGACCAGCCTGAGCAATATAATGAGACCCCCAACTGCATTTATAAAAAATAAGATAATTAAATTAAATTTAAAAAATGTAAAAGTATCTTAAGAGTTCTTGGCTCTGGACTAAGTCACAAATGCATGTATTTAAGTTGCCACTTGGTCTAAGGATCTAATGTCTAACTAAAGCCTATGGAGCCCTCAAGGAGTCCTTCCTTAAAGGTCTAGTCTCAAATGGGGTCCATGACCCTGGTGTGTGACAGTAACCTGGTGTCAGTCTGGAGAAAGAGTCCAGGTAAACATTTGGCAAAGTGGTCCCTCCACTATGGACATTCAGTATTTGGTGTTTCAGATAGTAGTGAAATGGATAACTTGATGGCTTCCTGTAATTCCCAGATGCCAGGCTTTGTGCTAAATCAGACTCTTCACATTCTGAATCCTTACAATGATCACATGAAGAAAGTCCTTTTCTTATTTTCATTTCTATGAGAAAATCAAGGTTCAGAGAGGTTAAGTAATTTGGCCAAGGTCACCTGGCTTACATGTGAATTTTTAAGTAAAAAATATTTAAAATATATTTTAATGAATATATTCACGTATTCATTAAAAACATGAATATGTGAATATCATGTGAATTATTTATTTGGCTAACTCATTTGCAAAGGCTGTTAGGTATAATTAAACAACAGAGACCGTGGGTTAACAAGGATAAAAATGTCTTGGCTGCCGGGCGTGGTGACTCACGCCTGTAATCCCAACACTTTGGGAGGCTGAGACAGGAGGATCTTTGAGGCCAGGAGTTCATGACCAGCCTGGGCAACATAGTGAGACTGTATCTCTACAAAGAAAGCAAGAAATTAGCCAGGTGTGGTGGCACACACATGTAGTCCCAGCTACTCGGGAGGCTGAGGTGAGAGGATCACCTGAGCCCAGGAGGTCCAGGCTGCAGTGAGCCGTGATGACACCACTGCACTCCAGCCTGGGCGACAGAGTGAGATCCTGTCTCCGAAAAAAGAAAAAGAAAAAGAAAAAAAAATGTTTTGGAAAGGAATGCCAGGATTTAGAGAAGTTACTTAAAAATTATGTCTTAAATCAGACTTGTAGTTTGCTTTGTATTGCCTTGCATAACACATGTCAGGAAGATCGCCAAGGAGGGGAGTTTATAAGCCCAGATCGCAGTAATAACTTTTACTCTGAATTTTGGTCTGAAAGACTTTTCCTTCGTCTGGAGCTGGGTTGGCTTTGTGATATCGTGCTGCAGCAGACCCGACAGTGTCTCCAAGGCAGAGCTCATTGCCTGGAGTTTTCCCACTGCACTGAACGAGAATTTATTTGGCCTTTCACGAAATTCAGATTGTTCCATTTATGCAGTCCTGTTTAAGTGACAGGCACTGAATATGGTTGCTTTCAGGCAAGTTATTTTGTTTGACTAGGGGCCTAGTGGAGTTCGGGATACACAGATGGCCATCCAAAAATGTTAAAAGAAAGAAATAACTTGATCCTCACAGCATCTCTGAGAAGTGGTTCCTAAATTTATCACAATCTTGCAGATGTGTAAGCTGAGGCGTGGAGTTCAAGCAGTGTGCTCAAAGCCATGTGTAGGTGACAGTGCCTGATTTCAGATGCAGATAACTCTAAGGCCAGTCTGCTGCATCTCTTACCAGTTTTTGGAAAAACCTCAAGGGAAAAACCACAGCAAATTTTTCGAGTTCTAGTAATTTCTTTTCCCCTATTACAACACGTATTCCCATAAACCAAGGACTGTGTGATTAGTCAATAAACAAAAAGAAATGCATAAAGTATCTGTCACTCATAACATTCTCGTTTCTTGCAGTTTCCAAGGTGGCTAGATCCATCAGAAGCTGAAGCCGTGGAGAACGCTCTCAGGGGCCTTTGCCACTTCTTGGAGTAGAAGCCGACAGAGACCTGTTTGGAAACGTCTCCTTCACACACCAGGTTGCTACCGAGGTCTTTTTCATGTTGCAATCAGAGCAGTTGCTTGTGTTTTTTAGCACTTGAATGATTTTAGAGATAAAGTCAGCTTCTGCTTCTTGACCGGGAGGCGTTGTGTGTGTGTGTGTGTGAGCGCGCGTGTGTTGGGCGAAGACAGATCTAAGCGCTCCCTGAGAGGGGAAGAGTAGATTGCACAAGTGGGGTTGGTTGGCTATACAGAAATTGCCCCACATTTAATCTGTTTGCCAATGAGGAAGCCCCTTATCTTCAAAAAAGGCAAGAAAGAAAGACTTCATTTTCCCCCTTCTCTTTATGTTCCAGTTGAAGACTAGGCTTTGGAGGTTTTCAAAGTAGACGGTGCTTGGATGGGCGGCAAGAAGTAACATTCTGCAAATCGCCGGCAGAGGTCCTGAGGACACAGACCTACCTGGCTTGCCTTCCCCTTGCTGAATGGCGTGTGCTGCAGCCGCCCACTGAGGGCTCTTTTCCCTGGGATTCTGGACTTGCGAGTAGGACAGCAGGCTGGGAAGATGCTGAGTTCCATCAAGTGCGTGTTGGTGGGTGACTCTGCTGTGGGGAAAACCTCTCTGTTGGTGCGCTTCACCTCTGAGACCTTCCCGGAGGCCTACAAGCCCACAGTGTACGAGAACACGGGGGTGGATGTCTTCATGGATGGCATCCAGATCAGCCTGGGCCTCTGGGACACAGCTGGCAATGATGCCTTCAGAAGCATCCGGCCCCTGTCCTACCAGCAGGCAGACGTGGTGCTGATGTGCTACTCTGTGGCCAACCATAACTCATTCCTGAACTTGAAGAACAAGTGGATTGGTGAAATCAGGAGCAACTTGCCCTGTACCCCTGTGCTGGTGGTGGCCACCCAGACTGACCAGCGGGAGATGGGGCCCCACAGGGCCTCCTGCATCAATGCCATGGAAGGGAAGAAACTGGCCCAGGATGTCAGAGCCAAGGGTTACCTGGAGTGCTCAGCCCTTAGCAACCGGGGGGTACAGCAGGTGTTTGAGTGCGCAGTCCGAACTGCCGTCAACCAGGCCAGGAGACGAAACAGAAGGAGACTCTTCTCCATCAATGAGTGCAAGATCTTCTAAACCCCAAGAGACTTCACACAACACTTACGTATGCGCCCCAAAGACTAATGGGGAGAGGGAGGGCCGGGAAGCCAGGAAAGCTTGGTGTTTTCTCTGGGTACTCCCCAAGCAGTGTCTCCTTTCGGATACAGTTATTGATGAGGCTTGGCCACTGGATGTTTTCACTAACTACACTCTACAAGTGAACTCCTTGCCCAGGCCGGTCAGAAAATCCCTTGGGGAACTGTAATGACTCTTCCATTTTTGATTAAAATAGTGAAATAGTCTCCACAATTTTGGACATGAAGTGAGTTTTTCAAAGAATTCCGTATTTAAAGACACATTTTATTTAATAACAAAATGGATTGCTTTTGTATATATTTAGTTTTCACACTTGGAAAATCTTTTGCTACATCCTCGAAAACATAAACTCCTGTGTGAGTGAAATACCTGTATGGAGCTCTGCCATATGTTTGTAGTGTTATTATTTTCACCTCAAGTAGAAAGTCTGTTGAAACCACTTGGCTGCTGGATTTAAATGGGTAATCAAATTTAAAAATGACCATAAATGAATCTTTGCAATTTATTTTCTACCTACCTGTTATTCAGAGTTGGATATAAAATACAGTTCCATAGGATATCCTAATACTGCCTAATGATTTTAAAGTTATCACTGTATTTTTCTGAAATGATAAAACGTCATTCATTTATTTACAATATTGTCTTTCACTCAACTCCAGTTATGCACTAAATATTCTCCTCTCATTCACCATGACTGATTGAAACACCATCTTTCAGGTAGAGAATCAGACTGCTCCAAGCAATAGCAACAGAACTTGAAACAGAAGCGAGAGAGTGTCACTTTCACCTCTGGTAGGGTGGTTCCCAGGTGATTGCAGGCCCTGTGAAAGACAGTGGGCTCAAAGTTCTGTTAACTTGACAAATTTCCTATACATTTGTCTAAACTGAGCTGTTGTGGCAACATAATTTATGAATTGTAGGATCTAATTAGGATTATTGGGAGGGTATCTACATATATATGTGTATGTAAGGGAAAAGGTAGAATTTACAGCCTTCAAAAAAGAAAAATCAAATTCCAAACCCAGGAAAAAGAAAGCTCTATAGCAACTGCTCAGATAACAGAAAGTTATCAGGGGGAAATACTGAATAAATAGATACATACTCGCACACAACCTGCTCTCACACACACAACTCAAACCCCATTCTATCGAATAGTTTAAAAGCAATGGTGTTGCTCATCTGTTAAAGTTGAGAATAGAGGACTACATAACTTAAGGTAGAAATTGCAAAGGCTGGGCTGGGTGCGGTGGCTCATGCCTATAACCCCAGCACTTTGGGAGGCTGAGGCAGGTGGATCATGAGGTCAGGAGTTCGAGACCAGCCTGGCCAACATGGTGAAACCCCGTCTCTACTAAATATACAAAAATTAGCTGGGTGTGGTGGCACACGCCTGTAGTTCTAGCTACCTGGGAGACTGAGGCAGAAGAATTGCCTGAACCCAGGAGGAGGAGGTTGCAGTGAGCCAAGATTGTGCCACTACACTCCAGCCTGGGCAACAGAGGGAGACTCCATCTCAAAGAAAAAAAAGAAAGAAAGAAAGAAAGAAATTGCAAAGGCTGGTGCCTAGATAGATCAATCAATTACTGCTCTAATCAAAACTTAGAAACACTCTGAACCACCTTTATGAAGGTTCATCATTGTTATGGGGTAATGTGACTATTACACACAAAAGGTAAGGTAGCTGGCATAAATGACTTTGATTAGAGTTATGTTGACATAGCCAAACCAGTTTCTCTGTTCCCTTGTGTGGTCAATTCCTTACAACTATAATCAGTATCAAAAACCAAATGTGTGCTCATTCACATTGCTTTCTCCTTCTCTCTCTCCTCCTATCCACAGCCAGTAAAAGGCCTGAGACTGGGGTCTTAATCTCCGGTGGGAGGATTGCCTCAGTTCCCTGGGGCTGACACAGTTGCCTTCACCCAGACTTCTCAGCACTCCAGGCCATGACTTGTACTCACCTCTGAGTCACCTGCCTCCCTTGATTTGAGAGCCCTGTCTCTAGTTCTCAGCTCAGGGCGGGGAGGGGGGGCTTGAAAGATGACGGGGCAGGGGGCTTGAAAGATGACCGAGCAGGGGAGGGGAAGGGATCTCATATCCTCTGATATCCCTGGGATTCTCTTCTCTCTCAACGCACAGTCTTAAATCATGAAATGCAGGTGTTCAGGGCCAGCCTTTGTGGTGAGAGGTATTTAACATGTCAGTGGGAAGGAATTTCTATTCACTGCAGTGGGCTGTCCCCAAGGCTTTTCTTTTTCTCTTGTTGAAGAGAGTCAGGGGTGGGTATCTGAAAGTGGGAAGGGCCACCATACATGATCCTAAGTAAGGGAAGAGGAGGTGGTTCCATGGTGGCAGCAGAGCAGGAAGGGAAGGCCAGAGATGGCACAGTCAAATGGCTTTGCTGTCACGTGGCCAAGGACACACAGGTGAGACCTCCACCTGTTGGCAGGAGCCAAACTTCACAGCTCCCTCTGGGAAGCCTCACACCTGAGGCCAGGAATCTATGTGTAAACCCTTTCCAGTGGCGGAAGCTGGCAGAAATGGAGCCAATAAGTGTCTTTCTTCCTGCTAGACTGCTGTTCTTGAAGGCAGCACTGCCTTCTGGTCTCCTCAGTGTCCCCAGGGCTCAGCACAGGGAAGGCAATGGAGCTAAAGTTGTGTTGAACTAAATTGGAAAGACAGACAGTAATTGGGCTTCTGTGCCGCACAGTGGTTATAGAAAGGAAGCAGACCCTCACTAGCCTGGCAGGGGTAAGAAGAAAAACAGGTCATCTGGGTAGAATCCATGTGTTGTGTGTTGTACATGAGCACATACTTACTTTTGCCTGCCTAGATGCAGACACAGGTTTCTTATACTTCAAAATTTGTGGTACCTTTCTGTAAACTATTGCATATCGATTCTTAACTATTCCAAGTAGCAACATTAAATATGTTCTTGATGACATTAAAGAGTTAATTCATGGTTGGGTAATTCATTCTTGCCTCTGTCAGTCTGGGCTGCTATAGTGGAAAACCATAGACTAGGGGGACTCAACAACAGAAATTTATCTCTCACAGTTCTGGATGCTGGGGAGTCCAAGGCCAGGGACAGCATGGTTGGGTTCTGGTGAGACCCCTCTGCCTGGTTTGCAATGGCTGTCTTCTTGCTGTGTTCTCACATGGCAGAGCACGAGATCATCTTTCTGGTGTTTCATCTTCTAAGGACACTAATCCCATTCATGAGGACTCAACCCTCATGATCTAATACTTTCCAAAGTCCTCACCTTCAAATGCCATCACATTGGGGATTAGGCCTCAATATTTCGAGATTGTGGGGACACAAACTTTCCATCCATAGCAATTCTATTCTGTCCTACTTTACACTGACTAGTTAACTGGGCAGCAGAATCCAGTGTGGTAACAAGAAATCTAGAAGCATCCTGATTAAGTTGGTTCAGTGCTTCAGATGTGCTGTGCCAGCCACCGTGTGAAGCACTCTTTTGCCACATGTGTGTAGGCCCACATTATACTGAGTCCCATCTTACATGAGGAAACTGAGGCTCAGCATGTTGATGTGACAAGGCCAAGCCCGTGCAGCAGGTGAGTGGCTGCCCCAGGAGTCTCAAGTAGGTCTGTGTGACTCCAAAGCTCTGCTCAAAACCACCCTGCCCCACTTCCTCCCAGAGCAGCTTGACTGAATGGCTTCGCCACATCCGACCTCATGTAGCCTGCAGCCCCGCCCCCGTCAGTCAAGTAGCCTGTGTTTTAAAAAATATATTTTTAAATAAAATATTCCAAGTCTGACCTTTGTCCTCCCCTTTTCTTTCTGGCAATGAGAATGGGACCCACCTGTATCACACAATACCATCATTTGCAAAGGTCTCCATTCCAACCCTTGGTATTTAAAGCATGATTCCAAAGGCTGGTTGCATGTAAATTGGCAGAGATGAGATACACCATGATTTAATGTTATAAAAAGCTTGGGAAATATTGTCTTTTTCTTTTTTTATTAAAACACTTTTTTTGAGATAGGGTTTTGCTCTGACACCCACAATGGAGTGTAGTGGTGTGATCATGGCTCACTGCAGCCTCAACTTCTAGAGCTCAAGCGATCCTCCCACCTCAGCCTCCCAAGTAACTGGGACCACGGGTGCACGCCACCACACTTGGCTAATTTTAAAATTTATTGTAGAGACGGGGTCTTGCTATGTTGCCCAGACTGGTCTTGAACTCCTGGGCTCAAGCGATCTTCTCACCTTGGCCTCCCAGAGTGCTAAGATTACAGGTGTGAGCCACTGTGCCCATCCAGTATTCTCTTTCTCTTCGTTTTTTTTGTTCGTTGATTGGTTGGTTGGTTGGTGTTTTTGTTTTTTTGGGATGGAGTTTTGCTCTTGTTGCCCGGGCTGGAGTGCAATGGTGCAATCTCGACTCACTGCAACCTCTGCCTCCTGGGTTCAAGTGATTCTCCTGCCTCAGTTTTCCAAGTAGCTGAGATTACAGGCATGTTCCATCATGCCTGGCTAATTTTGTATTTTTAGTAGAAACAGAGTTTCACCATGTTGGTCAGGCTGGTCTTGAACTCCTGACCTCAGGTGATCCACCCACCTCGGCCTCCCAAAATGTTGAGATTACAGGCATGAGCCACCGTGCCTGGCCAATATTCTCTTTTTCTTATCTCACTTTTCCACCCCTCAGGTTTCAGGTATTTTCT